CTTATCAATATAAAATATAAATCGAAATTACATAAGTAACGCAAATTTCAAGGTGATTCCCGACAATTTAGCTTGCTCTTCTTTATTCAAATGCCAAATTAACTATGTAATGAATAGCCCAATTATATATAATTATCAAAAATATTAACTTATACAATAACACCGATACTATTAAAGACCGATATCCTTACCGGAGTTCGCATCCTTGTGAATATTGTAAGTAATTAAAAGTTAAAAATACTGATAATATTGTACTAATTTTATAATTGATTAGTTTCGTAGACGTATTTATGCATTTAGAACTTAACAATACTCGATTTTTCTTTAAAATTGTAATTTCAGTATTATCGTCAAAGTTTGATTATCAACAGAGATGATAGCTGCAGAGAAAAAAATTGTAATTTTTTTGCAATATATAGAATATTAAAGCTTTACAAGTATGCATATTTATTTATGGAACATTTATGTAATAAAAAATCATAAATTTAATAATGTATGAGCTAAATATTTATATTAATAATAGCAAATTTATATCAATTATCGATAATGTCAGCATTCTTCAATTACCTCCGGGTCCTTGGGGCCCTTTTTATACCGCCGAAAATTTGCCCAGGGTTGACGATCTTTAGTAGTATCTCGTCGATGACAATAATAATACACAATTGATCCCACTGAAGGTAACTGAGGACATTATCGACTATCGATAAAATATCTGAATATACCGGTACATGCACGAGATCGAGTTGCAAGTTCCGTAAAATCCCGCGAGAGGATGCGAGGATCGTCGAGGAGACTCGAGGCGCCGACGTATGTTTTCGCCGAGATGCGCGACATTGCGCGTCCGCGGCATTGACTGATTGACGTCCGTCGTGTTTTTTTATCGTTAAGTCGGGTAAGATTGCAGCCGAGTGTGTACGGGGCCCCGACCTATTGCATCGGCGATTCTCGGGGAACGTTTCGTCTGCCGTCCACCCATCTATCTGTCTCTTTCCTTTCCCTCCCTTTTCCCTCCTATGGCGCTGGTATATCAGTGTTTTTCTCCGTGTTATCGTCCTTGCGCCGTGTCGCGCGATGCCAACGTTGCTGCGATGATGTCCGCGGATTTCGACTGTCACGTAGGTCACCCCCCCTTGGAAATCCGCGCCCCTCGTTCAGAGTCTCGTGAATTTTTCGTTCGACGACCAGCTCCGAGGCACTCCGGAGTCGCAGCGAATTCCCTCTCGAGAAGAACGAAACAATTTCGAGAGGAGTGCATGTCGTGTCTTTTACTCCGTCCCGTATTTTGACACACGACGAACAACGCGATTGTTTACTCGTCCGTCGTGATATTTCATAAACGCGCGAATGCGACCATTGGCCCGTCAATTCGAACGTACGGTGCGATTCAGCAATATGATCGTACGCAAGAGAATACCTCTTTGATTTTAGATCTCAACGGGCAGAACGTCGTAGGTAGTCCAGGCTCCGTTATCCCTGCGTCTTTCGGCCCCACAGAGATCCACTACCGACCATGAGCTGTGTGCGTTGTTGTCTGATTAGCGCGGGTCGCTTAGCCTCTTCCAACCATGTCACCAGTCATGGTAAGTACTATTTGTAAACAGCAAGATAGCCTTGTCTATCTCGAAAAACAGCTGAAATTGTTAAGCATGAAAGATAACTAGGCTACGTTTCGTTTCACGCATGATACATATGATGTATCACTTTATCCTTTTTTATTCAATGAACATTCTCTAAAACTTGATAATGAATTGTCACTCTGAAGAGTGAAATCTCACTCTTAAAGCTTGAAAATTGAGCTATTCTTTTTCAAGACTGGCTCAATTTTTACTCTTTAGAATGAAATTTTACTTCGAAAAATTTAGAGAGCAAAGATAAAGTAATACATCATGTATATTATGACAAAACAGAACATATTCTTGGAGATCTATAATAAGATCATTATTATGCTTGTGATTGTACAGTACACAAAATAGTCAGAGTCGTAGTGGCTAGTAGAGGCCTGACGATCAGCGGCAGCTTAAGTAAAGCTCCTACGGAACCCACACCACCCTCTAAAGATACCATCTCGTCAAGTGGATCCTCAAGTAGTGGTACAGGTGGTGGAAAGAAAAGCACGCTCACCTGTCCCAAGTGTGGAGATCCCTGCACACATGTTGAGACGTTTGTTTGTAAGTAGCACATTGTTGAGTAGGAGTTGATAGACCTTAACGTATTCAGGCAAAAATTGCCGAGAGTACTTATATTTGTATTTATATTAAGACCTTCTGTATCTTTATACATATACTGATATTACATTCTAATACAACTACTATTTTTACAAATAACACAGCATCCACGAGATTTGTCAAGTGCGAGAAGTGCCATCATTTCTTCGTTGTACTGTCAGAAATTGATTCTAAGAGGAGCTTGAAAGAGGCACTCAGGCCAGAAGATAGTAAGCAAGGATTTTATAGGAAACCTCCTCCACCTCCGAAAAAGGTAATTGATTTTTATTTTGATTATTTAATTTTACTTAATTTATATAATTATAGATTTTTTTATTTTATATAGAAAAAAATACATACATTTAGATCATTTTGCAAAAAAAATAGTACAATAATAATGTGATATTTTCAGATATTTGAGTATCTAAACAGACATGTAGTGGGACAGGAATATGCGAAGAAGGTGCTGAGTGTTGCCGTTTACAACCACTACAAGCGGATCTACAACAATCTGCCAACTCAAAACTCTCAGGCGCAAACTAATGTTAATCCAGTTAGCACACAGGAAACAAATCATCCCTTCACTCATAGAGGTCTTAAACCACGTAAATGACAATGCCCCAATCTTATAAATTGTTA